GTTGAAGTGGGGTGTAAGACAGGGGTTGATAGGGTGACAAGACAAGTTTGATGAATTGTAAGCTGGGTTGGTAAGGTGTATGACAGGGTTGATAAAGTTAGACAGAGTTTGATAGAGATTGTGAAGACAGGGGTTGGTAGAGGTGTATGAAACCCAGAGGTTGATGAAGATTGGCAAGACAGGGTTGGGTAAGAGTTGTAAGACAGGGTTGATGAGGGTGTAAGACAGGGGTTGATGAAAGATTGTGAAGACAGGGTTGGTGGAAGAGTGCAAGACAGGGGTTGATGGGGGTGTAAGACAGAGGGTTGATGGGGTGTATGACAGGGTTGATGTGGTGTGAGACAGGGGTTGATGGGGTGTAGACAGGGTTGATGTGGTGTAAGACAGAGTTTGAGTGGTGTAAGACAGGGTTGATGGGGTGTAAAGACAGGGTTGGTAGGGTGTATGACAGGGGTTGATGTGGTGTAAGACAGGGTTGATGGGGTGTAAGACAGGGTTGAAGTGTGAACATATGACAGAGTTGATGTGAAATTGTGTAAAGACAGGGGTTGATAGGGTGTAAAGACAGGTTGATGGGGTGTAAGGACAGGGTTGATTAGAGTGTAAGACTAGCAGGGTTGATGTGGTGTATGACAGGGGTTGATGTGGTGTAGGTGGGGTTGATGGGGTGTAAGACAGGGGTTGATGGGGTGTAGACAGGAGGTTGAGTGTGGGGTGCAAGTTGGAGTGGGGTGTGAGACAGGGTTGATGTGGTGTATGACAGGGTTGATGGGGTGCAAAGACAGGGTTGATGTGGTGTATATGTGTAGGGTTGATGTGTGGTGTAAGACAGGGTTGGTGGGGTGTAAGACAGGGTTGATAGGGTGTAAGACCAGGGTTGATGGGGTGTAGACAGGAGTTGATGGGGTGTAAGACAAGGTTGATGTGGTGGCAAAGACAGGGTTGATAGGGTGTAAGACAGGGTTGATAGGGTGTGTATGACAGGGTTGATGTGAAAGATTGTAAGACAGGGTTGATGTAAAATTGTAGACAGGGTTGAGTGTGGTGTAAGACAGGGTTGATGGGGTGTAAAGACAGGATTTGATGGGGTGTAAGACAGGGGTTGGTGGGGTGCAAGACAGGGGTTGATGTGTGGTGTAAGACAGGGTTGGTGATGTGGTGTAGACAGGGTTGATGGGGTGTAAAGACATGGTTGATGTGGTGTAAGACCAGTTGATGGGGGTGTGCAAGACAGGGGTTGATGTGGTGCAGGTGGTTGATGTGGTGTAAGACAGGGTTGATGTGGTGCTAAGACAGGGTTGATGGGGTGCAAAGACAGGGTTGATAGAGACAGGAGCAGGGTTGATGTGGTGTAGACAGGGTTGATGTAGTGTAAGGCAGTTGATGGTGTAGACAGGGTTGGTGTGGTGTAAGACAGGGTTGGTGAACCATGGGGTTGATGGGGTGTAAGACAGGGGTTGATGGGGTGTAAAGACAGGGGTTGTGGGGGTGCAAGACAGGGGTTGATGGGGTGTAAGACAGGGGTTGATGTGGTGTAAGACAGGGTTGATGAAGATTGTGTAGACAGGGTTGATGGGGTGTATGACCTTGGGGTTGTGGGGTGTAGACAGGGTTTGATGTGGTGTAAGACAGGGACGATGGGAGGGTGTGAAGACAGGGGTTGATGGGGTGTAAGACAGGGTTGATGAGGTGTAAGACAGGGTTGATAGGGTGTAGGAACAGGTTGATGGGGTGTAAGACAGGGTTGAGTGTGGTGTAAGACAGGGGTGATAGGGGTGTAGACAGGGTTGATGTGGTGTATGAACCAGGGTTGATGCAGGGTGTAGACAGGGTTGATAGGGTGTAAGACAGGGTTGATGGGAGTTGTAAGACAGGGTTGATGGGGTGTGTATGACAGGGTTGATGTGGTGTAAGACAGGGTTGATAGAGGTGTAAGACAGGGTTGATGTGGTGTAAGACAGGGTTGAGTAGGGGTGTAGACAGGGTTGATAGGGTGTGTGACAGGGGTTGATGTGGTGTAAGACAGGGTTGATGTGGGGTGTAAGACAGGAGTTGATGTGGTGTAGACAGGAGGTTGAGTGGGGTGTGGCAAGACAGGGGTTGGTAGGGTGTGAAAGACAGGGGTTGAGTGGGGTGTAAAGACAGGGTTGATGGGGTGTAAGACAGGGGTTGATGTGGTGTAAGACAGGAGGTTGATGGGGTGTAGACAGGGTTGATGGGGTGTAAGACAGGGTTGATGGGGTGTAGAACCCAGGGTTGATGGGGTGTAAGACAGGGTTGATGGGGTGTAAAGACAGGGGTTGAGTGGGGTGTGAACCCAGGGTTGATGTGGTGTAGAACCCAGGTTGTGGGGTGTAGATGGGGTTGATAGGGTGTAAAGACAGGGTTGATGGGGTGTAAGACCCCAGGGGTTGATGGGGTGTAAGACAGGAGTTGATGTGGTGTAAGACAGGGTTGATAGGGTGTAAAATAGGGTTGATAGAATTGTAAAGACAAGGTTGATAGGGTGTAGAACCCAGGGTTGATGGGGTGTAAAGACAGGGGTTGATGGGGTGTAGACAGGGTTGATGTGGTGTAAGACAGGGGTTGATGGTGTAAAGACAGGGGTTGATGGGGTGTATGACAGGGTTGATGTGGTGTAAGACCCAGGATTGATGGGGTGTAGACAGGGTTTGATGGGGTGTATGACCAGGGTTGAGTGTGGTGTAAGACAGGGTTAATAGAGGGTGTAAGACAGGGTTGATAGAGGTGTGGGCCAGGGTTGATGGGGTGTAAGACAGGGTTGATGGGGTGTAAGACATGGGGTTGATAGGGTGTAAGACAGGTTGATAGGGTGTGTGGCAGGGTTGATGTGGTGTAAGACAGGGTTGATAGGGTGTAAAGACAGGGTTGATGTGAAATTGTAAGACAGGGTTGATGTAATTGAAGACAGGTTGATAGGGGTGTATGAGCAGGGTTGGAGTCAATGGTGTAAGACAGGTTGATGAGGTGTGAAGACCAGGGGTTGATGTGGTGTATGACAGGGTTGATGGGGGTGTATGATGACAGGGGTTGATGGGGTGTAAGACAGGGTTGATGTGGTGTAGACAGAGTTGATGGGGGTGTAAGACGGGGTTGTTAGGGTGTGTATGACAGGAGGTTGATGTGGTGTAAAGACAGGGTTGTGGGGTGTAAGACAGGGTTGATGTGGTGTATGAGCAGGTTGGTCAGCAATTGTAAGACAGGGTTGATAGGGTGTAAGACAGGGTTGATGGGGTGTAAGACAGGGTTGTGATAGAAATTGTAAGACAGGAGTTGGTAAATTGTAAGACAGGTTGATGTGGTGTAAAGACAGGAGGTTGATAGAAGATTGTAGACAGGGTTGATGGGGTGTATGACAGGGTTGATGTGGTGTAAGACAGGGTTGATGGGTGTAGACAGGGTTGATGGGGTGTGTGACCAGGGTTCAGTGTGAAATTGTAAGACCAGGGTTGTTGATGGGGTGTAAAGACAGGGTTGATGGGGTGTAAGACAGGGTTGAGTAGGGTGTAGACCCAGGGGTTGATGGGGGTGTAAGACAGGGTTGAAGTGTGAGGGCAAGACTGGGGTTGATGGGGTGTAAGACAGGGTTGATGGGGTGTAAGACAGGGTTGATAGGAATTGAAGACAGGGTTGATGGGGGTGTAAAGACAGGGTTGATGTGAGTGTAAGGCAGGGTTGATGGGTATACAAGACAGGGTTGATAGGGTGTATGAACAGGTTGATGTGGTGTAAAGACAAGGGTTGATAGGGTGTATGACAGGGTTGATGTGGTGTAGACAGGTTGATGGGGTGTAAAGACAGGGTTGATGTGGTGTAAAGACCAGGGTTGATGGGGTGTAAAGACAGGGGTTGATGGGGTGTATGAGCAGGGGTTGGTGTGGTGTAAAGACAGAGGGTTGATGGGGTGTAAGACAGGGTTGATAGAGGGTGTAGACAGGGGTTGATGGGGTGTAGACAGGGGTTGATGGGGTGTAGACAGGGGTGAGTGGGGTGTAGACAGGGTTGATGGGGTGTAGACAGGGTTGATAGGGTGTAAGACAGGGTTGATGGGGTGTAAGACAGGGTTGATGTGGTGTAGACAGGGTTGATAGGGTGTAAGACAGGTTGATAGAATTGTAAGACAGGGTTGATGGGGTGTAAAGACAGGGTTGATGGGGTGTAAGACAGGGTTGATAGAGGTGTGAAGACAGGTTGGTGGGGTGTAAGACAGGGTTGGTAGAGGTGTGAGACAGGGGTTGATGGGGGTGTGTGACAGGAGGTTGAGTGTGGTGTAAGACAGGGGTTGGAAGTGGGGTGTGAACTGGGGTTGATGGGGTGTATGACAGGGTTGATGTGGTGTAAGACAGGTTGATGGGGTGTAGACAGGGTTGATGGGGTGTAAGACAGGGGTTGATGGGGTGTAAGACCCAGGGTTGATGGGGTGTAAGACAGGGTTGATGTGGTGTAAGACAGGGTTGATG